ATTTCTTCCAACTGCCTTCCATTAATCTGTTCTTTTCCCCAAATTCTCCCCATCTACTGGGACTTTTTAACAAGCAAGTGCCACACTCCCCCCGGAAAAGAAAGAAAAATACAAACCCTCAGCCCCTGAGCTGTCTCCCCCCTCCCCCCCACTCCCTCCTTCCCTCCCAGAGCATAAACCTAAAGTAACACCAATCAAGCTCTGAAACAAAGCCTGTGCAGGCAGCGGCCCTCGTGGTTCCCAAGCTCCTCTCCGGTTCCGTCTCTCTCCTCATCCTGCCTCCCTCATCCCCACATGCTCAGAATGCAACCAGCTAAGTCAGGAATCACATGCGCCACACGTCCTCTCCGCTTATCAGGAGACGCATTTTCTCTGCACCTCCACCCTTATCTGCGGGGAGCCACAGACATCATTGCGCCTCCGAACCTATTCGCATCCCAGGCCCCATTATCTCCTTATATGGCTTGTCCTATGGGTCTAACGCAGAAGACATGTAGATGGCTGACAGTAAAAAAAAAAAAAACTAATAATGCCCAAGTTCCCCCCTTGTCTCACCCTGCTGAGAATCACTCTAATCACCCTGTCATTTCACTACAGAGGAGCGCTGGGGGGCACCGCTCTTATTTTAAAAAAAGAGTTGAAAATTTTTCATTTTTATTTTATTTTGTTGTACAGCACTTTGTAACTACGTCTGTGAAAGGTGCTTTACTAATAAACCTTACTTACTTATTTGGTGTTCTGTATTAATAAAACACACGGGCAAGTGTAAAATGGCCGTTACCAAACGTCGGTGTGTAGGAACAGTGTGCGATTGCTACGCCCATAAACGGAATGTCACTGGGTCAAATACCTTGGCTGGTAGAGTGATGTCACCGTTAGGTTCTTAGGTCCTTAACCTTTAGCACGGTTCACTTTTTTCTAAAATCTTTATATTCCCTGATATTCAAAGCCAATATGCAATGATGCCCATCATCAACAAATCTTTGCAGCAGAAAAATATAGCATTTTACCACTCAAAAAAGTAGCAGCACAAAACACAGCCTACCACTCATTCTCTGAAATGTCCCGACATCGAGCAGTATGAGGAATGGCCTTAGCCTCACACCTGCTAACCATGATGTCCAGTCTGACAGTATAAAGAGCTATTACAGAGCAACCAAGGCAATGTCAAACAGAACCATTTTAAGCTATTGGTATTGGACACAAAACAGTTTAAACTTACATGATGAAGTTAATGTTATTTTACAAATAAAAACATAAATGACAATATGGGTATTTCTTCTATTCACCGAATTTTTTTGTACTGAAGAGCTGTTATTTTTGTAAAATGCGTTTTTTTATTACATAAGTTAATTTGCCCTATGTTTAGTGCAGGAAAAACAACTCATTCTGACATTTTCTTCCTGTAGAATCAACTTAAAAAATTAACCCAAAAAAGAACAATGAAGTTTTGCCACTGAAACAACTTTTCATGGAGAATAGCTGTGCTTTCCATTGGTCTTAGAATGAAAACACATGATAAATAATTCAAAATAAAAGATCTCAAAGTCCTACTGTGGGCACCCACATCATGAGGAGAGGACAGGAAACTGAGAAGTTGGTTTATAACGGCATGGCCAGTGTATGTATGTGTGTGTGTGTGTGCGTGCGTGCGAGTACCTATCCTTATGGGGACCCCCCCATAACGTGATAAATATCCGTTTTTTTTTCCCTTATGGGGACCGGTTTCCTGGTCCCCA